AGGGTTCTAATCGAATTCTTCTAGGGTCTAATCGATTCTTCTACTTTTRCTTCTTCTAGGGTTCRAATCGAATCTTTCTTCTTCCGTTATAGCTCATGTCGATCACGGGAAGACTACTCTCATGGACCTTAGTTCTAGATTCTCCGTGTCGATCACGGGAAGACTACTTCTAGGGTTCTAATCGAATTCTTCTTCTTCTTTGGGATTTTTTTGATATGTTCTTGACTTAATCATMGTTCTTGTGACTGGTCGAAACAGGTGTTCGTAGTTGCTACGATGAAGGGAAACGTACGGCAGAGACGCTGACCATGGACTATCACAGAGGTGCCAATGTTGAGGTTAGTTAGTTTCTCATTTGTCCACGATTTCAAAGCCAAGTTATGTGTTTGTTTTAGTAATCGATGAAAAAGAAGGAGGCAGAGAGCGTTTCAATGACTAATTTTGTGTCACACAGGTCAGGATTGCTAGGATCTTCAACACATACGGTCCAAGAATGTGTATAGATGATGGGRGTGTGGTCAGCAACTTTGTTGCACAGGTTGGTTTTAATAATTTATTTGGCACAAACAATAAAGGATTAAAGAAACGTTTTGTGGATAATTAGAGTAATGATGGTCTGAGTTTTTAAATAATTGAARAGGCACTAAGYAAAGAACCATTGACAGTTTATGGTGATGGGAAGCAGACAAGGAGTTTCCAGTATGTTTCTGATCTGGTAAGGCCTTTGCTTTCCCCCATTATAGTAATACAAATTGCCTACACAAAAATTCTTTTTATGTTAAATCATATTCAAGCTTTTGAAAGTATTAGACCTTTAAGTTCTTTTTGTATTTAGTGGAACTGCTTTTTAGTGTGAGATTCACGAAAGAGATGATTTTACTTTTGTATCACATTATTTTTAACATTTTGGTGTGTAGAAAGATTTTTGTAGAGAGAGCTAAAAAACAGAGGAAGTAAATTTGTGTCAAGTGAAGTCACATGTTATTGTTAGTGTGTTGTGAGATCTATAAACATAGGCTTTAAGACTTGAGACCCAAATCTCTGAGAGACATCAGAAACGGTCCCCACTTTAGCAATCTTATGAAGAAGGGTATCAATATCATGTGATATAGGAACGAATGGGGTCTGAACTTTATTGCCCATTT